CAGCTACAACTGCTAATTTAGAGTTATTTTTCTGAAAGAAATAACGCAACACAATTATCATTGTTTTATAAGTTATTTATCATACTTAGTTCAAAGCAGAAACTTAATTCATCCAATCAAACTCAGCAATGCTGCTTTGAAAGGTGATAACAAACCCACACTTTATAGAGAAATTGCAAATTGTACTGAAATTTGATCAAAATAAAATTTGATAAATACTTGACATTAACCAAACAAACTTCTTGTGCTCTAATTACAACACTACAAGCAATTGTATTTCTTACGCACGATTTCCTTGTAGAAGGCTTTACATTTGAGCTAGGTTTTAGTAAGTATAGTTAAATGACCAGTAGTAGACTTTTTGTGAGTCTTTTAGAAATATGCATAAGTAAAAAGATTTCGGCAGATTTTCCCAGAAAATATTCACCAGAATATTGATAATCCTTAAAAAATGTTATGCAAGATATTGCTTAGTTGTCTACATAAATACTACTGTCAGCTATCTGAAGATAATAAGTAATAATGTTAAAAATTAACAAAAGGATTTTGATGTTAAACTTATGATCAATAAACGTTACTTTATTAAGAGAAGAACCTATATATTCAATTCAACCTCTGTCTAATTTTATTTGTCATCTTTTTAGTATTTTATGTTATTTCTCTTATTCTAATAAAACATTGCAGTCATTTTTTTTTTTTTTTCAATTAAAAATTCGCGAAACAAATTTTAAAGATTTGATTCAATTTTACAAATAAAAACCACTAAAAATGGGGAATCAAATATAGATCTCGTATTGTATTGCAAATTACTATAAAAAATATTATATTTTTTTATAGTAATTTACTAATTACTATAAAATTACTATAAATTACATATTCATTTAGAAAAGATCAAGTAAAAGAATTCCAAAAAAGACAGACAAAATAAACATTTCTAGCAAAAATTTCTTCTTTTTATTTCAATTATAAAAAATACAAAACTACAAACCTTTTTTTTGTTCAATGGAGAGTTTTAGGCTATCTTAGCAACATGAAAAATTATTTTTAGTAGCATGTTGGTATGAGTTGATATAGTTATCTGAAAGCCTATTTCAGTATTCTGTGTTGTTGGAATAAACTGAAGCAGGCAATCAGTTAACAGAAAGTCTAGCATAAATTAATGTAAGTACTCAAAGAAAACCTAACTATTATTAAACTATTTTAATAAAATAAAAAATAAAACAATTATGGTGCAAACAAGACTCTTAACCATAACAAAAATTAAGTTTTTATACTTGAGCCGTAAAAAAACTGGCCTCTTAATTTTTAACGGAAAATGCAACAAATCAGGCCGTGTAATTTAAGTAGGCCATGCTTGCGGTAGTTATTCTCCTACTTTAATTGCGATACAACAAGATGTGTGAAGGGTAGATCTCGAGGCAAGAGACAAAACAATTTAAAAACTTTAAACTTAAACATTAAAACGTTCCTAAATAACTCTATTAAACCTAACCAAGCATGTGGCCAATGTGGTCATGGTTTGAATTAAAAAAAAAGTTATTATATTCAAAAACATCTAGCTACTTATTTAAAAACATCTAATTATTATATAGTATTTGTTAATGGTTATAAATTATAAAAACAAGCATTTAAATAAGATAAAATCTTTTTAAGTTAATGCGTACGTACCTTTATATACAAGTTCTAACCGCCAACCTTTTTGTACACTTTTTCAGACTCCTTCCTCCCTTTATGAGGTTTTGTTAAATAAATGCCAAATTATTGTTTTAAAAATTTATTTTACAACTAGCTTTTTAATTTATAGGATTTAATTTTTTTTTTTAACAATTTTTTTTATAAAAATTAATGTAATAAAAAAAACAAAAAAAACGTATTATTTAAAATGCCGTTTTTAAAAAAATTTTAATATTGAAATTTCAAGACTTTCTGGATCTTTCTTCATTTTTTTTAATTATATTTTTTATTTCTTTTTAAATGTTCTTATTTTTTTCAATCGGTTTCTACTTGTACTGTGCTTTTTTATTTTTTTTCTAACTGATGTTACAAATTAAACACGACGTTATTTATTCTAAAATAAAAACATCTTTAAAACATTAAAACTAGGGATGTACCGAAGCTAAAATTTTGCCGAAGCCGAAGCTTTGGCACTATATATGCTTAAAATTTAATCAGCATTCAGATCAGCAGGGGTGTAAAACAAAAAAGGTACCAAAACTAAGATCCTTGACTAATAATATAAAAAAAATGTATAAAAATGAGGACGCCAGTCAGGGTTGCTGCCCCAGGCAGGGCAAAAGCTCTCAGCGCCCCTGTTTGAAAGTTTCTCATTATGTCGTTTCTGATACTTCACCGAACCTAGTGTTTTTTTTTTTAAACTTAAGCTTTTTTGAAACATTCTCCCCAAATTTTCCTACTTCTAATTCTACTTTTTCTGTGTGCAAACCATATTAATGTTATATAGTGCATAATATCAGTAACTCACATATATTTCCAACTATTCCTAATATTCTTCTAAGATTATTTTTTTATAGCCACACTGTTCTTCTATGTAAGCATCGTTTCTCTTTAATCCTCTATCTAATCATCTAATTTTTAATCCTCTATTTAATCATCTTGTTTGCTCTATCTAATTATCGTGTGTTAGCTGAACATCCTCAAATTTTATTCCCCATAAATTACTGTTACGCATCTGTGCTGTATATTTTATTTTTATTTTTAATGCACCTTTTGTTAAGAGTGGATAAAAATCTCTGAATATTACTCAAGTAAATTTATCTTTTACACTTGAACACTCTTTCTCTAAATAAACACTCTTAGCTGATCTAGTTGTAACTACAACATAAAAAATCTTACAAACACTTTATCTTTTTATTGCTATTTATTTCAATATCTTTTTTTTACTTCTCTGTATTCATTAAACGAACAATTTCTAAACTAAAAAAAACCCAAGTTAAGACCATTTTGTATTCCACTACAACTGTTGTGAACCTGCTACTAAAAAAAAAGTACAATTGATAGATTTCTCTCTAACTTCTTTTTTACACACTTTTAAGTTTTTTTTTTTTGTTTTTTTCGATTATTTTTAACTTTACACTACATAACATTTTCTTAAGCTTCTATTAATCTTTTACACTCTGAAATCATAGTATTCATTCTTCTTCTGTCTCTGTAATGAATAAATCTGCATCAGTATCTGAAATCAAATATTAACTATCTGTGATAAAAACTTCTATAGTAATCTAACAACTCAGTAGAGTGAGCTTTAAATAAAATAATAAATAGAATACTTTATAAATTTTTTATTTATAATTATATTATTATTTACTTTATATTTATAAATAAACAGGGACTGAGCAGGCTGATATTTGCTTTAAATTGTTTATTTAATTTAAATAAATTTTGATGATAAATATATGAGCTCAAGTAATCAAAGCTTTAACCTTTAATTTGTTTTAAATAAAATTTAAAAGTCTTCATAATATCATAAGAAGAAACCAGAATATAAGTTCAATTTAGAAGTATTCATAATATTAATAAAAGAGCAAGGATAATTATTATGATTGTTTTTCTTTTTCTTTTAATTTATCTAGTTTTTGTTGACTTTTTTTTCTTTTTTTATTCTCCTCATTTATATTTCATTTTCTTTTCTTCCTTTTTTGTTGTTGAGAACTTTATGTTTTTTATGTGTCACTCCATTGACTAGTTTGTAACTATATAAGTGACACCTAACCAATTTCTGTAATCTTACGATGAAAATTTGTAAATTTTCATCGTAAGACACTGGCAATTAGCATATTTTTATAACTTGTACAACAGTAGCTTATAACTTTAATTACTTAAAATTTTTTGCCGAAGCCAAAGATTCGGCAAAAAATTGACCTGGTTTCGGCCGAAATGAAGCTTCGGCAAAATTGCCGAAGCCGAAATCCCTAATTAAAACTAAAAATATAATAAAGTAGATTAGGGTAATATGAGCACCTTAAGCGAAAATTGGAATATTTTCAAAAATAAACATGCTGGATCCAAAATTTTTGCGAATAAACAATTTTTAGGGATCCCTACTCGTGATTCATTTAGATATTTGGGCACCCGACTTTTTTCTTAAAAACACAGAGGTTCTAAAAAAGTAGCAAAAGTGCTCGTATTACCCAGACCCCTTGGTAATATGAACACTTTAAATTAGCTCAAAAAATAGCATAAATTAAGTAAAAAAAGACCAACCTGACTAATAGAACTAATTTTTGGAATATAAGGATTCGTGATTAACAAAACTTATCATTAAAAGATCAAATTTTAAGCTACATTTTGTTGAAACAATACTACTATGTTTTCCGCAAAAAAAAAAAAAAAAATTCGTTATTTTTTCAATTTTATTAACTCAAACCTTTGAACGATAATAAGTCAGATTTTTTCAATTTAAGTTACAGAAAAATATTTAGCATTGTTCAAATATTAAAATTTTTTACTATGTTTTGTTTTTATTCAAGAAGCAATTAAAAACCACTGCTATTTTAGGACTTTAAACTAAGTAATTTCAATGAAAAACACTGGGTAATTTGAGCATGCTCATTATTACACAAAAATGACATCTTTAAATAAAGTCAAAAATAAATGTTTCTATGCATTATTTTTCAAACAAAAATGAAATGGATTTTTAGCTAATATATTTTTCTTTATGAAAAAATTAATTTCATTATTTTAGCACCAAAATTTCGCGCCACAGAATTATTCACGTGTGACGATAATATTTTAACAAAGCAAAAAATTTAAAAGCGTTTTAATTTGATGATGTCCGCTAATTACTGCATGTAAATTTACGGTAATAGTACTTATTTCTGTTATCACCACAAAAAGTCGATTCGAAAAACACAAAGCAACTTTAACTTCACTGCTTACATCTAATAAATCTTTATGTATGCTCATATTACAAGGTGCTCATATTACCCTAATCTACCCTACATATATTGTTTAAAATTTATTTTTGTGTGTTTTAATATTAGAAACTTCTGTGAAACCATCAGTACCATCAATATCAGTACCTGTCACCAATTCATCTTATTCTTACACAGATAAAGTGCAAATATCCGGACGTAAAGTGCAAATATCCGGACGGCTTCGTATTGGGCTATCAAGAAATTTAAGGGTAACTAAACCTCTTCACCCAGGTGTAAATCCAAACGTTTAGAAATTTAAAAAGAAACTCAAATAGTATTTTTTATTACTGTTGTTTTAGCTTTAAATTTATAGTTCTAAATTTGATTCGCGACCCTATAATAAAGTTCCATCTGATTTTTCAATAAGAGTTTAACCGTTAAAGTTTAAATAGATGGTGTTAATCTGAATTTTTGGAGTTCAAGTTTACAGAGTTTATTCTAGGGTCCAAATTATCTTTTAAAGGCTATGGATAAAACGGATATGATATTTATGGATATAATTATTTACTTTATAATTTATAACAACTATACAAATCTGAAATATGTTTTTCTGAATTTTATTAAATAAATTGATAAATGATACTTATTTATATTTTACTTTGTTATAATGTCATGTCCGCTAAATATCTTGCGTTTTTATTTTTTAATAACTGTTAACAGCCTTGAATTTAATTTCAACGGGTTATTCAAACGGCATCCAGTTAATATCGAAGAATAAACATTTATTGGTTTCAACTGTCTTATATCGTTCAATTTGTCTAGAACCTTTTTTCTTTCAAAAGAATTTACCTGGGTGGTTAGGCATAATTTGTGTACTTGGACTTAAACTTGCATGCAAGTTTTTATTTTTATTTTGCAACGATTCCACCAACGTCTGTGTAAGGGTCATAAATGTTAATTGTTGAATTTTTTTCATTTTGTGATGTACCTTGAATAGTGCTTTTTGTCGAAACTGTTCCAAGATCTGCATATGGGTCAAATTCAACTTTTTTTGATATCGTTGAAGCATCCACGTTATCGTGTGTTTCAGTTGTTTTAATTTCCGTGTTATGTCTGTCGACTTTATTTGTTGTTGCTGTTGAGTTGATGATGAAATTTAATCCCTCGTTTATTGCAGTCTCACTATCTTTAACCGATAAGCACATGTCATTAGCTTTTGAGGTTTCTTCTACTTTAGATAACCGATTTTCATTTCCTTCCTTTGCGTGGAGTAATTCTTTTGCTTCTAATTCGGCACTTGCAGGTAAGCATCTACGATTTTCATCATGCTTTTTGATAGTAATTTCATGAACTTTTTCGTCGTGATTGTTTAATTTTTTTTGATCTTCTGCTAAAAATCTTTCCAGAGATGATTCATGGTTTGCCGCTTCCGTGCTTACAGATGAATGTTTAGTTTCTAACTCTACCTTTCTTGACTCTTTTGGGAGATGCGGGAGGTTGAGTTCTTCATAATTCTTTCCATTTATCTTTTCTTTATCGTCTGCTCTTCTTGGATTGTCATCACTTAGAAAAAGTTTTCTTTTTGAATAATTTTCTTCTATTTCGTTATCGGAAATATCTTCTTGTGCTTTTTTTCGTTCTAAAAACGAAGAGTGAGATTGTGTTTTAAGTTTATCAGGTTTTTCAAACGAACTACTAGAAGTGTGCATGTTCTCTGCTGTTTTTCTTTGCGGCTGATCAATCAATGTACTTTGAGATTCGTATAATGGTTTTTTGTATGTAAAGCTTAATTTATCGTCATCACTAATTTTTCGTCTTCTATTTTGTAGATATTTTATTCTACTTACTTCGTCATTACTGGATTTATCTTCGTGTCTTTCGAGGGAACTGCGTGTAAATGGTCTAGACTTTTTAAAATCTTCTTGCTTATTTGACAAAATAAATCGGTGTGACTTTGCCAACAAACTTTCTTGAATACTTTTTTTCGAAGAACTTGGTGAATCCTGAATTTCTTGACCGACGTTCTGAAGTAGTGTTGATGGATCGGACACGTGTGCGTCTTCTACACGCAGTTTTTCTAAAGCGATATCTTTTTCTAATTTAGAAATGACCGCTAATTCATTCTCTTGGGTGTTATCAGATTTTACTAAATCATTTTTTGACGTCAAATCTCCTTCCTCCATTTCTTGCAACTTATCTTGCTTTTTTCTTTGGATTTCTTGCAACACCTTTAAGTAAACCGTCTCGTTGATACCTTTTGATGTATCGTTTGTCAAAGAATTACTGCTTTGATGATGTGTGTCTACATTTTTTTCAAAAACTTGCTGCGGCTTTTCTGGTGCTTTTTTAATGGTATGTTTCACTTCGGCTGGGTTCGGTCCACTGTTACCTGATGTTCCCAGATCTGCATAAGGATCAGATTCCTTTTTTCGAAAAGATGAATCAGAATTTGATAGCTTTGATTCTCCGTTATTTTTTTGAGATTCTTTTTGAGAAACTAAATGCATCGTGGGTAAATTATACTGAGATTTTACTGATGCTAAATCAGTCTCTTTAACTACAGCGTGTGATAAATTTGTTGCGATAGACGGTTTAACAGCATTTTCACTACCTAAACTTAGGGTATCATTTTCTTTAATTTTATTATTTTCGTTGGTATGTAATCTTGCTTCATTCTGTGTTAATCCAATGGAAGTACCTAAGTCGGCATAAGGGTCATACGTATCTGAACGTTTACTTGTTGCAATTTTAGTACGTTTGTTGAATTTGTAAGACGTATGTTTGTGAAACCCACGTGTTTCAGAATTTACATTGACAATTGTTCCTATGTCTTTGTAAGGATCTGCAACAACAGAAACATTATTGGGTGGTTTTACTGAATTTGTGTTTGTAATAGTTGTTTTTTCATTTTCAAAAGCAGTTTTATTTGCAAGCTTCGCTATAAACTGAAACGGCTTAAGTTGTAATAATTTTCTTCGAGTTTCCGGACTTATTTTTGCAATAGCCTCACTAAAACGTGGAAAGGCTGCAAGTATAGAAACAGCAGTAGTATCTTTTAGAAGGCTATCAGTTGTATCTTTTACTGCAGCCTCAACTGTTACTTCCTTTGAAATATCATTTTTATCGCGTCTAACTAAGCTAATCCCTGATGCTAATGGTATGTCTTGTTTTATCTCACCATTAAGTGTTTTAACTTTGGACTTTTTTAACTTTGAAGTTTTTTTATTGTTTTTGGATGTTTTTGTTTTTATTCCATAAGATGGTAATTTGTGTCGTTTTATAAGAGATGTTACTGGTGAACCTAAAGTAGAGTACGGATCCCGAGTAGCCTCTTTGTATTGTTCAGCTGCACTTTTGTCAAGCATTATTTCTTTTGTTTCGTTTATGTTTGTCCGCTTCTTTGCGGTAGAACCAAGATCGGCATAAGGATCTAAGGCCTGAGGTTTTAATTTTTCGATATTTTCGCTTTCTTCAGTTCCTTTAGCGGTTACTTTCTGAAGCTGAGCTAATGCTTTTCTGGTTTCTTCCTGGAGTGCAGCTAATGTTCTTTGATATTCTGCTATTTTTGGCGTAAGTTCGGAAGGAGTCATGCGCGTTGTGGCTTTTTCAGAAAATTGCTCCAATATATGTGATGGATTGTGTTTGTTATTAATTCCATTTAGACGAACAGACTCACGATAAAGCCTAGAAAGTTCTTTTGGTAAATTTACAATAATTTTCATTTTTTTACTTGCTTTCTGGTACTCTACTAACTCCGGTGTTACATTCATGTGCAAGTAACCTTTTATGATGCTGCTTTTTTTTTTAATGTCAGCATATGCTGATTGAAGTTTTTCTTCTTTTTTTGGATCAAACGACTCTTCTTTGAAAATTTTATTTACTATGTGCACTGCAACAGTCGGATCATTGGTAGTTGCAATCGTACGTGCATTCGGAACTCCTTTATCTGGTGGTTTTAAATCAATCTCAATAGGTTTTTTTAGCTTAGCTAAAGGCCCTTTCGGATTCAAAGTTATTTTAAGTGGAACTCGAGGGAGCTTTCCAAATAATTCAACTATTGTACTTGGGTTACTAACATCAGTAACAGTTTCAACTTCGTCGTCATTTTTATTTGACGAACCAATGTCATTGCGTCTGCTGATTACTTTATTGACTTTATTTCTTTTCAAGTTGATATAATTATAGCTATCGTCTTGAAATGAGTGAAATTTTTCTTCTTTACCTGGCGATACATCATATTTGCTTACAAATGAGTCGTCTTTGTATTTCATAAACTTTTTGTAGGGTTCTAAAGCAAGTTTATCTAAACTTTCAAAATATTGTCCCGCGTGTTGAATGTATAGCTTTTGTTTTTCACAAGTTATATCAATACAATTTGTTGTACCTCCTGAGTCGTCTATTAGTTTAGAGGGATCAAAATCACCATAAAATGTAAAGCTTTCTTCATTCGAAGAAGTATCTTTATTTTGAGTTGTTTTATTTGATAACCTTTGAACAAAAACAGGCCGATCAGTATCAACTAATTTTACGCGTCTAGTACTGTTAGATACCTGAATGTTCTGAGGTTTTGGTAAGTTTGAATTTTTAATACTACGCTTCACTCTCCCATTAAAATCATCATTCACCGGTATATCTATTTGCTTAAGAGAGTTCGAAATGCCTGGATATACCTTTTCAAGAGTAGATAGTTCTTTTTCAATGTCTTTCGCTTTAACTTGTAATAAAGTACGACGTTGCATACTCTTTTGATGATGCAACTCTCCTAAAATATCTTTCACAGCCATACGATAAAGCGAAATCATCATGTCTTTATCAAACATTTTCATAAACTGATATGCAAACCTATTAAATTCTTTTTTTCTGCTATGATGCTTGTTAGAGTGAAGATTTTCATTGGAGTCTGAAAAAGAGTTTTCGAGATTTATTGCATGACTCAAATTATCTTGTTGAATGTCTGAGTTTAAACTACTTATAGGCGTTGCATTGTCATATGCTTCAATATTAACCACATTTTCAGAGACGGTTTTGTTTGGTTTAACGACGCATTTTAATAGAGCTTTTCCTTTAGGTAAGCTTATAACCACTCCACGCTTAAATGCTTTTGTTGGTAAAAAAGCTTCAGGTATAAATACTGGACGTTCAATTACAACATGCTTTTCATCTAATGTTTTTTCATCGAACTTAGTCACATCTTTTTTCGTTGCAATTACATTATCGTTAGAAACATCGTAGTCAATGTTGTCTATTTTGTTCAAAATATCATCAAAAGGAACTACTTCTGTAAATCTTCTTTTAATTGCATTGGCTTCAACGGGAGCTTCGTATTCGTCTTTTTCAAGTGATTTTTTAAGAAATGAAATTTTTGTTGGCCCTTTGATTGGTAAGATTTTCAATGGTCCGATAGATTCAATATTTTTTGAAAAGTCGCATTTTTGACAGTGTTTTAAAGTTACAGCCAATTTTCCTTTTAAATGTATTGTAACAGGAATGTGGACTGTGCATGGAGGTGGCGGTGGTGGAGGGGGTGGAGGAGGAGGCGGCGGTAAAGCGGGAGCGGGAGGACTAACATTGATTGATGGGGCTTCTTGTGCAGAGCAGCATGATACAACTGGTATAACAGGGTGCATATGGTGAACAATTACAGGGTGTATGTGATCAACTATATGAGGTTCGATTTTAACTTCTGGAGGAAATACAATAGGTTCTGAGTCTAACATTAGTGGTAAATTAGGAAGAGACAAGGTTTGCTCATCGTGAAAGTTATCTTGGAAATCTTCTGTAGATATATACGGTGGGTGCGCCATTGTATCAACACCAAAATCGCCAATGAATCCATGTTTTTTTTTTGCATTTTCTTCAACTTTTTTTTTATCTAGAACCAAAAAGAAAAATTTACGTAAAATAATAAATATAAGAAAAATTTACGTAAAATAATAAATATAAGAAAAATTTAATTTTCAGTCATCTTTTTTAAATTAACGGTTTAATCATCTTTTTAATTTAACGATTTTAAATTTATTTTTCAAGCAGCTGGGCCAACCACATTTTTCTATCAGTTTTGCGCCATTTTTTTTAGACTTCCGGTCATACCAACCATCTTTTTGGATTAAATGACGCAACTGGATTCATTATTCAGTTGGGTAAAACCTTTTTTTTTTTTTTTTTATGAGTTAGCGCAACTGCATTTGGTTTGCAATGCCAAACAAACTCATTCTACAGACAAGCTTTTTCACCAACCGTCATAATTTTCAGTTCAATGCATTGCATTGAACTCAACAATAGAGCTAAGCCAAAGAGGTGCAGATAGACGCAAACCCTTTAAATTTAAGTATTAATAAATGCTACAGCGTCGCTAATATACTGAACGTCTAGTTTTGAGACATAAGGTCTCTGAATCAAACTTAAAACTTTTTCTGACTAATTAATGTAAATTAAAATTGATGTAAATAACTTTTCAAAGATATTATTATTATTATTGTTATTATTATTATTATTACCACCAAGGCCGGCGCGATAGGGGTGTGTGGGGGTGTGTGACACCCCCCATCAATGATTTTTAGAAACGAGGACCGTTTTTTTTTTTAGTCGGCAAAAGTTGTAATGGTACCCCCCCCCCCCCACGTGACCCCTACTCGCGCCAGCCCTGATTACCACCTTACCCTTTGGAAAAACCGCAAAAAGATTTTTTAATTGATTTTTAAAGAAATAAATGTAGTTTTAATAATTAAAATTACTTATTCAAATTTAATTTTGAAAAAATTAAGTAATATCTAATAATAAATAAATGGAATTACAATAAAAACTAAAAAAAGAAGGTAATAAAAATAAGAAATTTAATTGTAATTTAATTTTATTAAACAAATATGTAAAATGCACGTAAAAACTGTACCGTTAACATTTTCGTTTGATGCTGTTTCTATCTGCATATTTTTTAGGTTTAGCTTTTCGTTGTTTCCTGAATCTGCCTCTAAAGTAATTTCCAAAGCATTATCATCTGGTTGTTCACTGTTTTCATTTGATGACTTGACATCATCAACTTTTATATCTTTGCTGTTGAGTGAAGTAATTTCTACCACATTATTTCCAGTTTCTTCGTTATTGTATCCAAGTTTTTCGACTTTATTATTAATTTTTGATACAATCGGATTGTCTTCCATTTCAGATGCATCGATTGTTTCGTTATCAATAGTTGTAAAGGAAGACCCCTCATAGTTTTTAGAAGTTGAAGGTAGCCCTATATTTGGTAAAATTAAGTAACCCTTAGATTTAAAGAGATTACAAAATAGATTAATAAATAACAAACATTTAAACTGAAAAACAGTCGTGACGCAATGTTTAGAGTGCTCGCCTCAAAACCAAACGGCCCAAGGTTCTATGACTGCTCAGGCCATATTTTCGATATCTGTAAAGAAGGAAGTGTAAACTTCTTTGGAAAATGTTCTTCCACGGTATTCTTCGACAAGACTGCTAGACCATCTTGGAGCACCTTAATTACTAAAAAAACTAAATAAAAGACCTACCATGTACTTGAAAATGCAGAAGTACAAAGCAATATTGCAGCAACAGTGTGTAAATCGTGGAACATAAACACTAAAAGTAAGGTAAAATAAACACTAGAAGTAAGATTAAACATGTACTAAAAGTATAAAAAAAACATTTGCAAAAATTTTTGCAAATGTTTTTTTTTATTATTTTTGGTAAAAAAAAACAACAACAGTAGAAGTAAGATAAAATAAATATATAAAACTATATTTAAATGTAATAGGTACACATCCTGGACCTAAATCAAAACGTATTTTTATCGTATTTCTTTTTTTATTCTTTTGTTAGCTTCTTTGATTTTGATCTAATGATATTTTATTATTTACATTTTGAGAAAGAGGCAACGACTATGATTTTTAGCAACAGTATGCGCATCCCTTTTTCTCTCTCTCTCTCTCTCTCTCTATCTATATCTATCTATCTATCTATCTATATACATATATATATATATATATATATATATATATATATATATATATATATATATATATATATATATATATATATATATATATATGTATATATATATATATGTATATATATATATATATATATACATATATATATATATATATATACATATATATATATATATATATATATATATATATATATATATATATATATATATATATATATATATATATATATATATATGTATATATATATATATATATATATATATATATATATATATATAAATATATATATATATATATATATATATATATATATATAATTATATATATATAGGCCCGCCGGGAGAAACTTCAGGCCTCTGAAAATCTTTTGAATCTTTCGGCTTCGTATAAAGTATAAAATAAAATTAATGTTTTTATTTTAGTTACAAATTAGTTAACTAATAAAAAAATAAAGTTTGTAGTGCGGAGTAACATGTAGCGGTGGATAACATTAATAAAATGACACAAAATGATAGATACTGCAAAACTAATATCATACTAGTATGATGCGATGCTAACTTAACAAGTAAAAATGTTTCCAACAGATGTTTTGACACAAGATTAAACTTGGACAAAACCGACGCCAAACATCCAAATTAATGACAGGCAAAAAATTAAATGGACAGCTTACAAAATTGGCAATGACAAGGGTGCAGAACAACGCTAAATGTAAACCATTTTTTTCTACCTACCGTGTAAGCTAGCTTCATTGCTACGTTAACATGTCAAGTGCAAAGAAACAAAAACAACAATTGGTTTATTTTTTTTATTAATTTATTTCCCACCGATTTTAATTATATATCCATATTATATATTTTAAAACCATTTGTATTAGTATGGAACGCATACAGAGCATGGGGTTACGCTCAATTCATATTTATTCAACCATGAAATGTTTGACCCTTGTCTACTTAGTTTAACAAAAATGGTTCAATATTAATTTAATGTAAACAGCGCTGTTACAGATTGATTTAAGTGGTTTATCTTGAATGGCGCGTAAATTAACATTTTTTAAATATTTAAACCAAATTCTTTAAAACACGCATTTTTATTATTGCATTTTTATTACTACATTTTAAATTATATTTTACTACATTTTACTACATTTTTTTTTTTTTGAAAATTGTTAAAAAGTATACTTTTTAACTATATTCAAATAAAAATGAACTAAAATATAATAAAAGATGTAACAAAAATGTAATAAAAAATGAATTGCGCGTCATATATATATATATATATATATATATATATATATATATATATATATATATATATATATATATATATATATATATATATATATATATATATATATATATATATATATATATATATATATATATATATATATATATATATATATATATATATATATATATATATATGTATATATATATATATATATATATATATAAATGCAATGAAATGTCGAAAAATAAGACGATTATACATTTGGGATTTGAAAATTACTTTCTATTGATATAACTATTGTGACTTAAAATATTAAAATCCGTCATGTAGAAAGATTTGAAAATCTGTGGCCCTTGATATATTGAGTTTTTTTTTTAATTGTATCACTAGCTATTATACCTAGGGCTATTCTCTGAAACTAGGTCTCACTCCATAATCAATTGAAAAAGAATGTAGACATAATTTTGTTTTTAAAAAATCTCTTGCTATATAATTTGATTAATCTTAGATTGTTTTCTAGAATTTGTCTTGTGATATATAGAATATAAATTAAGTTTGTGTGGCAGTGGCGCAGTGGTTAGAGCGCTTTATAAGCAGGAGATCGAGTTCGAAAAGAGTTTTGGACATATTTCGCGTCACGGTAAGGAAGGAGGCGTAAACTTCCTGGTTAAATGCACTTCTGTGACAAGACCAAGACTTCTGTGACAAGAGAAGTTAGGACTTCTTGGGGGCACCTAAATAACAAATTAAAAAAAAAAAATTCCATCATACCAACTAACGTAGCAGGCTCTAATTTTTTTTAATTTTCTTTAAGGTTAGGAAGAACATTTAAAGAGAAGTTCACGCCTCATTTATTACCGATATTATAAAACTTGCCTAGAGATATTATAAAACTTGCCTAGAGCGTTGAAACACGGATCTCTAGCTTCTGAGGCAAACGCGCTAACCACGGCGCTACGACTGATCAATATTTGAATCAGAAACTTTTGAAAAAAGTTTTTCTTTTTTAATAGCATGTTGTGGATCTATATAATTTTGATCAAGAGGGTTAGTTAGAATTCAACATATATCTAGTTTTACAAAGAAACTATAAGGCCCTACGAGTTACACTAGATAGCCTAATGCAAAATGCCATCTTTCCAAAATCTGCATGGAGAAGAAACTAATTAAAAATCGCGTTTAGTATTTAATTAAATAAAAATATTGTATACAAGTACCTATTAAGCAAGTTTTTCCTATATGATTAAAAAACTATATACGGTATCAGCGTCAAAACGTTACTTTAGATCAAAATACGTTTTTGATGATCTAAAGTAACGTTTTGACGCTGATTTCGTATACTGTATATAATATAACTTGCCGTGGCAAAGTTCTCTAAGACTCAAAATTATATGAAAAAAAATAAATTTTTACAACTAATTACATGGCTAAATATCATAACTTAAAACTTAATATTTCTTAAATAAAGTAGGTTGATTCTAGGCACAAAGACGCCTAACGTACACAAATTTCACCTATATGTAACTTTGATATATTCAAATTTAATAAAGAAAAGTTGGAAAGTAATTGACAAAAAATAGCTAAAGGAAATCATTATTTCTACATGATATTAATTTGCCTATAATAATCGAAGATTTGAAACATTAAATGAAGAAAGTGATAGGAAAAGAAAAGAAAACTCGTGGTAATTATTTACCAAAATATTTATATACTAAGCATGAAAGATCAATAAATAATGAGAAAAAAGATATTGCAAACAGTTTCAACAACTTTTTTTATAAACGTTAGTAAAAACCTAGCAAACAAAATAACAATAGGAAAAAATTTTTTTAAATCCTATCTAAAACAAAAGGACTATGTAATGATGAGCTTGAGGTATCGCCTAATGAACTTCGGTTTGGTTTTAATATGATAAAACCAAACCAAAGCACAGGCCTTTATGGTATAAGTCCTAAGGTTGTTAAAGAGGTTTTTGATATTATTGAGTACCCCATACTTATTATTTTTAATCTTTCATTTAAAAATGGAGTTTTTCCTGATCTCTTGAAACTAGCTAGAGTAGTTCCAATATTTAAAGATGATGATATCTCAAAGTTATCTAATTACAGACCTATTTCAATACTTTCATGTTTTTCTAAAATTCTAGAGCGAATAATGTATAATAGACTTTACAATTATCTTACAAATCACAAAGTTCTAAATAACAATCAGTACGGATTCAGAAAAGGACACTCGACAGAACATGCAGTAATTAAATTAATTAATGAAATATTAAATGGGTTTGAAAACAACCAATTTACTCTTGGAGTGTTTATTGACCTCTCTAAAGCCTTTGATACTGTGGACCATGATATTCTTCTCAAAAATAATAATCTTAAATGGTTTTGTCAAAAATAATAATCTTAAATGGTTTTGTTCGTATCTTAAAAATCGCAAGCAATGTGTATTTTATGACAAAACCTACACTAAATTAGAAAACATTACCTGCGGAGTTCCACAGGGATCTATTCTAGGGCCTTTGTTGTTTATTATTTATATCAACGATATTTACTTTTCATCTAGTATACTATACTTTAATCTTTTTGCTGACAACACTCAAGTTTTTTATACTCACTCTAACATTAAGACAATCTTTACCTTAATGAATGACCCGACGGGCATTTGTTTTTAAAAGTTACGATCTAAATGTGTTTTAAATGTCTTTTAAAGGTCTTTTAAACATTAATGTTTAAAAGACGTTTAAAAGACGTTTAAAACACATTTAGAACGTAACTTTTAAAAACAAATGCCCGTCGGGGATTTAAAGCCAACAAACTCTCTATGAACTCTACCAAAAGCAAATATACTCTCTTTTATAAATCTTCTAAATCTGACACGTTGCCTTTAAAACTCCCGGATATTTTAATAGAATAAACAAAGTTGCAAAGAGCATACTGTGTTAAATTCTTAGGCATTTTAATCGATGAGCAAATAAATTGGAAAGAGCATATTAATCTAATAGAAAATAAAATTTCTAAAAGTATTGGAATCATATATAAAATTAGATGTATGTTGAATAAAAACTGTTTAAAATCTATTTACTTCTCATTTATTCATAGCTATATTAGTTATTGTAACATTACTTGGGCAAGCAATGTTATTATCTTACTTATCCGTCAAGACTAACTTGTATCTTAAAAAAACAAAAACAAGCAACCCGCCTTATATTAAATGCTAATAAATACACCAGTGTCAATCCACTTCTTCGTAAGCTTGGAGTGCTGAATGTTTATCAATTAAATATTTTTAATATTCTTTTATTCATGTTTAGATTAAAATATTATATGCTACCTAATATTTTTAAAGAACTTTTCTTTATTATAGATCATAAATATCAAACAAAGCATTCATTGCTTAATTTTCAGGTACCAAAAACTTTGTTAAAACAATCTGAATTCTCAATAACTTACCAAGGGTCACATTTAATAGAAATAGACCTAAATATGACCTGAAATAGACCTGAATGACTAAAAATTATTTATAAACATCTAAATATCTTTTTGCATACATTTTACTTTTAATAAACTTCTACATGTACTAAACTTTCTCAACGCTTCAATGCAGTGTATAAAATGCAGAATGTGGAGGACAGTCTCTTAATTTTTTTTGGAGCATTCCTCCTTTTTCTAATGTTTATAATAAGAGACTTCCTTCTCCTTCTAATGTTTATAATAAAAGACTTCCTCCTCCTTCTAATGTTTATAATAAGAGACTTCCTTCTCCTTCCTCCTCCTTCTAATGTTTATAATAAGAGACTTTCTTCTCCTTCCTCCTCCTTCTAATGTTTATTATAAGAGACCTCCATACTTCTTATTCTTTTATTATTCATTTTTCAAAAAACTAATTCAAAAAATAACTATTTGATAAATTAAAGATCGTAATTTATTAAAATTAAATATTTATTTAATTAAATCGGAAGTTAATTAAAATTAAAAATGTTAGTAGCAGAATGAAAATGCAAAAACTTGGTTTGAAAATTATCTGATAGAAATTAATATGTGTCTTATGATGGTGGAAAAACCAGCATTAAAATAATCACTTGTGTTCTGCAAGGATCCATATGCAAAAATGACGCTGTGACAACTTTACATTTGCGTTTGAGCAACATTAGTTTAAGGAAAAAAGACGTTATAAAGACAAACGTTATATTTTTGCTGAAATGACGCTGAGCCAATGTCTTTTCCAACGTTGTTTAGACGTTGGAATAATGGCATAAATGAAACATAGGTTAACGTTATATTGACGACGTTGGCCAAACGTTGTATGAAAAACGTCCTCCAACGTTTTTCTAACATTTTCGATGTTATTTCTACACTGCAAAAAACAATAAAGCAAAATTTTACACTGTATAACTTTGCGCTGTAAAGTTCTTTTTTCTTTTTTATTATTTATGAAGATCATATTTATTAAGGTCATACACGATTATTATATTAGTCCGGGCAAGTAATTGAATGCGAAAATTAAGTCTAAAAATAAATAAACATTGCAAAACTTCTATTTCAAAATTTTAAAATTATATACAATAACTGAGTGAAGTTTGATTTTTACTTTCTTTGCAAATTTCAACGATATCTCAAATATTTTGCGTATTCTTTGTTTGACACTAAAAGAGAAAAATGT